CCATAGACGAATTTGCAATGGTGCTATGAACAAGAATAACAAAAAAACACGGACATAGATGTTGTCGTCTATACTCTTGTTGGGGAGCTACTCGTAAACAATCAAGTTCTCTGCTCCTCAAAACAAGCACCCACAATTCTCACTAAGTTTTTGTGTAGTACCTTAGCAAGCAAAAGCAACTCCATTGTCAACTTGTTTATCCCCTGTCGAGAACTCTATGATAGTCTCTTAACGACGAGTAGTTGGTGGTTAGAGAGAGTTCCTGGATGTACAAAATGGAGACATGCGAAGGAATGGAGACATTGATATAAAGATACTGCAACATTAAATAGGTGTACCTTGTAAACTGTGCCAAAGCCACCTTCACCTAGTTTGTCATCTAAATCTTATTCTGTCGTTGCATCTCAAAGTATTTGTAGATCTATTTAAAGGGACACGAAAATGCTACACGTACATAATTCATCTACAAAATCCTACGTAACCTGCCTAATTAATTCTCTTGGCCTCCCGATTTTCACGGGTGTGGGCCCCTCCCACCCCAATCAATCCAATCCCAAGTCTCCATGTTTTCTATCACGTAAAAACCATACTTTCTATATAGATGAAACGCATGATATGCGTTTTCGAGAAAAAACGTAAAATCATGTGTTACTTTAAGTAGGTCTAGCATTACTCTAATAGGCATGTGCACTTGCATGTTTTTTTTGGTGTCGCTTTTCTTTCTTCTGGTATAAGCATTTTTTTGCGGGGCTGTTATAAGCATTGATTGTTCCTTCAATATATGATTTATTTACAGAGAGGGTATTTCTTTACAGAGGGAGCATAAATCAGGGCGTCGTGAAGGGAGTGTGTAACCAAAATAATGTAAATTATAATTAACGTAGATCTAAAAATAACTATAATTAGTGTGGTTTGGTTTGTAGCTACATGGACTACAAGAAATATGTTTTCAAATATATTCTGTTGTGATTTGAAAAAAAATATAATGTCCTGCATTTATGACCTATGTGGCTATTGATATTCTCTTTTCATTTTGGTTGAGTTTTCTTTTTTCCTTTTGGATTTTCAGTCAGCACCAATATTTTGATTATGTGATTATTAGGTATAGCCGCATAGATAGTTGTACTATTTTTTCCCATCAGAGATCAAATCTTCGCTTTCACATTGCTAGAAAGTTTAAGCCTTGGCAACAATTTGCCTTAAAAAGAAACATAGTACAATACCCACCAGTGCCAAGCATTGAGATAAGATGCGCTGAAGATTCACCCACTGCTCGTCCTGTTTGGTGGTCTGCCACCGTCTCTCCAGTCCTCTCCTCATAATTTAACGCAAGTACTACTACTCTGCTCACGACCGTACTGAACTGGTTGGCTTGCTGCTATAGCTAGCTAGCTCATCACAAGCAAATCAGCAGAGCTAGCTAGAATAATCTACTCAAGATGTTTAGAGCAATGGCGCACCACCTTCTTCTGAGGTAATAGTATTTTTGCAAATAAACTGCATACTGAATCTCTGCCTCTTGGAAGAACACCAGAGCTTTCGTGCCTCCCGAACTGATGTGGTTGGGAATGCAGGGGTAAGATGAGCGCTGCCCCGGCGGCGATCTCGTCCGGCGTCGGCCTCGCTCGCTTCTCCACGGCCCCGAGTTCCCAGAGGTGCATGCCATGCCTGCCATGCCGTGGAATCTTTGTTTTCTCTTCTTGGTTCTCGTTTGTGCCATGCCGTGGCGTCGCCCATGGCTAGAGGCCGCACTTAAGTGTGTTTGCTGCGGGGCAGGCTGGCCGGGAAGGTGTCCGTCATCACCGGGGCCGCCAGCGGCATGGGCAAGGCGACGGCCGCGGAGTTCGTCAGGAACGGCGCCAAGGTCATCCTCACCGACATCCAGGACGACCTCGGCCGCGCAGTCGCCGCCGAGCTCGGCCCCGACGCCTCCTACGCCCGCTGCGACGTGACCGATGAGGCGCAGATCGCCGCGGCCGTCGACCTCGCGGTGGCGCGCCACGGCCGGCTCGACGTCCTGCACAACCACGCCGGGATCGCGGGGAAGATGAGCATGGACTCCATCGCGTCCCTCGACCTCGCCGACTTCGACCGCACCATGGCAGCCAACGCGCGGTCTGCCGTCGCCGGGATCAAGCACGCTGCGCGCGTGATGGTGCCGCGCCGGAGCGGGTGCATCATCTGCACGGCGAGCACGGCGGGGGTGCTCGGCGGCGTGAACCCCGCGTACTGCATCTCCAAGGCGGCCGTGATCGGCGCCGTCCGGGCGTTGGCCGGGGAGCTGGGGAGGCACGGCGTGCGCGTGAACGCCATCTCGCCGCATGGCATCGCGACGCCGTTCGGGCTGCGCGGGCTGGCGGAGCTGCTCCCGGAGGCGAGCGAGGAGGAGCTGAGGCGAATGGTGGAGTCGGGCATGAACGAGATGGGTGGGATGGTGCTGGAGGTGGAGGACATCGCGCGGGCGGCCCTGTACCTGGCGTCCGACGAGGCCAGGTATGTCAACGGGCACAACCTCGTCGTCGACGGCGGGTTTACCGTGGGGAAGCTGATTCACACGCCGGATCCGGTGAGGAGTGAGTGACAGCCATGGCATGGCATGATAGTGACATCCAAACAAGCGTAATGACTACTCCCTCTGTACCGAAATATATGTCGCTGGAGTAGCTGATTGGGAGTAGTACCCATCTTCCACAGCATGCGCAATAAATTCAGGAAAATTAATGGACGTGGGCGCGGCCGTTAGGGCAATGTATAATTGTGACATTTTAAAGATGACACATAGGATAAATGCTAAGATGGAGAAGAGAGATATCATAATAAAAAGTTTGTCTTATCCTATTTAAGAAATGATTCCTTAGCATAACATGTCTAATCACGTTTTTAAAAACAACTACTTACTGAAGATAAGAATAAAAGATAACCCATTTTAGGCTTGTACTTATTGTCATTGTCATATCTGAATTACATGCAAATTTTAAGATAAAACAATTTTATTAATCATTGTACATGCTCTTAGATCTTGATATGTGGGTGCATGTTCGTTGCCCGCCTAACACAATTTGCCTTTATTTTCAACAATGCTACATTCACGGAGGAGTACTCTTCATGGAATAACACCAGGGTTTTACATAGTGTTTGTGACCTGTTAGGTGTTGATTGGATTAAGGGAGAGAGAGGGGGCCCACCCACCTAAAAATTACGGGGGTTGAAGAGAATTAGAAGAAAGGGCACGTAATCCCCCCTAAAAAGCCCGTACGTTTAGCACTTTTGTTTTTTTATATGGGAGTGTCTAAGGCTCATCGAGATTTGAGAAAAATGTCCAAAATAAACCTTGAACTCGTAGGTGAAGGCTAAACCGAACGCATAAGTTTTAATCCCTGAAATCAGCACACCAAACTCTCTGATCCAGGTCAATTTTGAACCTTAAGGGCATTCTCAACGGGATTGTTGCCATAGCAGGTCGATCTGCATCTGAACGCTACAGAGCCGGCCCACCAGACGCGAACCATGTTTTTCTTTTTAGTAGCGTGACACTTAAAAATACCAAAAAATGTGATACTCACATTGCGACCTAGCTGCTGAACTACTCCTGCTATCCACTCTAACTAGTGACTCTTGGTTACAAATGAGAAGCGCAAAAATATTTAACCATATACCGCAGCGTCAAGATTTGAAAACGTATACTTTTTATATTTTTCATTTTTTTAAATTATGAATAATTTCAAAATCCTAATATTCTAAATACTAAAAATCATTTTTCCAAATTCCAAACAGTATATGCAAAAATGTGAACACTTTTTTGAATTACGAACATGTTTCGGAAACACAAAGAAATTTTGAAAACGTGAACCATTATCGAAATCCCCGAACATTTTATTAAGAGCAACAACTTTTTAAACCTGAACAAAATTTTAAAGTGTGAAATTTTTTTGAAACACGAATGTTTGTGAAACATAAACTTTTTTTGTGAAAATTTGGAACAAACTTTAAATCTTGAACAAAATTTTAAAGTGCAAACAACTTTCAAAACATGAATGTTTGTGAAACATAAACATTCTTGTGAAAATGGGATCACATTTTGAATCCCGAACAACATTTTAAAGTGCAAACGACTTTTTGAAACACAAACATCTGTGATACATAAACATTTTTTGTAAAAAATGGGAACAAAATTTTGAATCCTAAACAAAATTTTAAAATGTGAACAATTTTTTAAAACACAATTTTTTTGAAACATATTTAAAAAAAAGGGGAACAAAATTTGAAACTTGAACAAAATATTGAAGTTGGAATAATTTCCTAAAAAATTGTTCAGGTTTCAAAATTTTGTTTTTGTGTTAAAATTGTTCGTGTTTCCATCGCCTTGATGCGCTCGACGCATTGTGGTCAATGTGGTCAATAAACAAGAGCCCTCGGAAGAGGACTCTACAATCTACATGAAGAAGCTCACGGTAGAGACTCACATGCCCTCTGACGACAAACTGCTTCCAAAAAAATTATCCTTCTCGGATGGGGTGGTTTACTTATCCTATCTATTTTTTTTTTGGTTTATAAGAAGAAAATATTTCTTTTTTGGGGCCGCCGACAGATTGTTTTAAGCGATCCGTCGCCTGGCGGACCATCAGATCAGATCTATCTAGCAGCTGAACGTCTTCTATTTTGTAACAAAACTCTTGTTGCAGAAACATTGCAACATAGGTTGCGGTGTTCATTTTTTTTGCAGCATAAGTTGTGTTGTGGGAATATATTTTTCTACAACATAGGTTGTGTTGCGGGATTTACTTTTTGCAATATAGATTGTGTTGCGGGATTTTTTTTGTAACATAGGCTGTGTTGCGGGATTTTATTTTTCCGTCTTCTCTTTTTTCTACAACAAGAGTAGTGTTGTGGAAGAACTTTTACAGGATATGTAATTTTGCAAAAAATATAGAGATGAGAGACGGAGAGAGGAACGTGATGTTTTCTACACGAAGAGGTTCGCCTCGTGTTTCCTTGAGTGGGGCATTTGAGAGCATGTGACGCTTAAAGGAGGTAGCGGACGCGTCGACTGATTTCAACCAGTTGACGCTGAACGTTTCCCTTCTTTTTTTGTTCTATATGAAAATAAAAGAAAACGGTGCATAACCCGTGGTTTCATAATTTTACAAGGAGCCTCGCAGTCACATATCAGTGCTACCGGCGAGATCGAACGGCCATGAGGAGCGGAGCCCCTAGATCTGCACCTAAATACACTTCACTAGAGGGGGTTCTCTGCAAACTGCCAAGAGCTCCTGCCCCCTTCTTCTCCCGTCCCATCGAAACCGAACGACCGATCCGTGGCGGGCGAACCAACCTGTGTGTGGTCGGATGGTTAGAAGGACTGTGGTATCCCCAGCCCACCAGGGTTCAAGTCCTGGTGCTCGCATTTATTCTTGGACTATTTTAAAATTTCGACGATGCGCATTCAGTGGGAGGAGACGTTCCCATCGACGACGATGTGCTACGGTGACTTCATAAATTTCAAGATGATATGCCGACTCAGTCTTTCGAAGGTGCTCATAGGAGTAGGTTATGCGTGTGTGCGTTCATAAGGATGAGTATATGCGCGTGTATATGAACGCTTGCGTGTACTATGTTAAACAAAAAAGACCGATTCATCCCGCCGAGAAGCGGACTGTCTGGAGGTAATCGAAATCATGCTGAGTGACGGGAATTCTTTAGGACCAGCAGCGGCAATATATGAAGAATGCACTGGAAAACTCAAAACGGTGCCGGGGCTTATCTGCTCCCTCTCAGAAAAAAATTCAAAAAAAATACTAGAAAAATTCAAAAAATTCCAATTTTTTGTGGTGGTAGATAATTTGACGCGTGAGGTGCGCACCAAAATTCAACTTATTTGGACATCTGAGCAGCTCTCGGCAAAAAAAGACAAATCGGGTCAAAACAGTGCATGAACAGTAAACATTTTTACAGACCCTGATTTTGTCTTTTTTGCCGAGAGCTGCTCAGATGCTCAAATGAGTTGAATTTTGGTGCGCACCTCACGCGTCAAATTATCTACCACCACAAAAAAATTGGAATTTTTTGAATTTTTCTAGTATTTTTTTTGAATTTTTTAAGCGGGGGTGCAGATGAGCCCGGGTGTAGATTAGCCGCACTCGAATGCACTTTCCTATCTAGCAACTTTATCTCTATAGTTTTTAGCCATTGCCCTCGGGAAGCCAATATGGCGGCGGATCTGCTAGCTAAGAACTCGGTGTCGTGGTAACGATTCCGACAATAAGAGAGGGGTAGGATAAAGGAGCATGATCTATCGAGATGCATATGGGTGACACGGTGGTTTTAGCGAGTTCGGGCCTCTCACGATGGAGATAACAACCCTACGTCTCGTGCTCCGGAGAGGCTTTGTGTTTATCTTAGTATGTATCCGGAGATTACAATGAGAGCAGAACGGATCCCCGTAGTCCTGAGACTAGAAAGAGAGAGAGAGAGATGGGAGAAGAAGCCCCCCCAAGTCTAGTGGTGGGGGGTGGCTTATATAGAGTGCGCCACCCCCTCACCTCCTATGTTACAAAGTGGGGTATGAATGCCATAATGCCAGCCCGCTATTAAGCCCTCACTATTAGAAAGATGCCGACTGCCTTGCTGCCTGCTGGTCTTCGTATATCCGAGTGAGTCGTACGGTCGAGTGGTGAACCGTCATCCGAGTGGATGGTATGTTGCTTGGTCGAGTGGATAGTATGCTGCTTGTCCGAGTGGATAGTGTGTCTGTATGAAATTGACCTGGACCCACATGTTGTGTGGACCCCATGTCGTGGTTCTAAGCCTGACAGTAGAGTGGGGGGTAGGTATGGAGAGGCAAGGTCCTAGCTATGGAGAGGTTGTAAACACAAGGGATGTACGAGTTCAGGCCCTTCTCGGAAGAAGTAATAGCCCTACGTCTCGGAGCCCGGAGGCGGTCGAGTGGATTATGTGTATATGAGTTACAAGGTGCCGAACCCTTCTACCTGTGGAGGAGGGTGGCTTATATAGAGTGCGCCAGGACCCCAGCCAGACCACGTAGGAGAGGGTTTAAGGTGAGTTAAGTCTGGGGCGTTACTGGTAACGCCCCACATAAAGTGCTTTTACTATCATAAAGTCTACTTAATTACAGGCCGTTGCAGTGCAGAGTGCCTCTTAACCTTCTGGTGGTCGAGTGAGTCTTCATGGTCGAGTCCTTCAAGTCAGTCGAGTGAGTCCCTCGTTGGTCGACTGGAAGGTGACCTCTTCTAAGGGTGTCTTTGGGCAGGGTACTTAGATCAGGTCTGTGACCCTACCCTAGGTACATGACCCCATCATTAGCCCCCGAATGGATTGAGGCTTCGAGTGAGGAAAGAGTTGATGTTGTTTCCGATTAACTTTTGCACACTGGTCGTGCATTGTTCTGGACCAAAGAATCTCTTCGTTGATAGTGACCAACTTGTCTTCAGTCGACTCGATCCATTCTCTTCTTTCGTCGAATGATCTTTCGGGCTTTGACGATTTCCGAGCGACGGATCGCAGGGAATCCCGCGTCTGACAGACCGGTCTGCCGTTCGCGGATTCCGCGGGATGCGAAATTTG